TTAAGTAACAGAAAAATTATCACATTGACTTTAGCAGGCACCATTCATGTTTCTAAATGAAAATCAATTTATTAGAAAAAGAAATAAAACAGGCAAATAATGTTAGACTGGCATGACTAATAGGCCCATAAGCATAAAAAATTAAGGGATTAAAAAAAACAAACCTATATTATTTAATGGGTGCAAAAACACTGGACTACACAGCACAACTATCTCCACTTAAATATTTCAGAACACTAAACCATAGGGATGCATGGACCTACCAAAGCACTTTGTCAGCTGGTTGCTTGCAGCCTCTTTTGTACAGACAAGTCTAGAATTTGTGTATTTGGATCAAGTAAAGAGCTTTAAGTAATACAGTCTTAAACTCAACAAAGCAAACAACAAAAAATCCAAATAAATCAGAATACGCTGCTCACAGGCCTTTACATGCAAGCTAATTGAGGAATTACTTTGCTGTCTGATGAATATTGTTTCACTCTCAGTAATCAGTAGCTTTTGAGGTATTTTTGTAATACGGAATATTCCTGACCTGTTGTTTCATAAAGGAAGCGAACGCTTTACAAGGAAGTAAGAAAACATATATAATGTTAATATGAAAACATTCTCAGGCACTTTAAAGACCATCACAACACAAAGACTAAGGTGTCCATTATTTTGGACACACTCAAGTTTCATAGAAGTGATATTTTTTTGTGGGAGAGCTTCCTTAGCTCCCAAGTGCTTTGCATAACCTGGGCTAATTTCAAAGAATCTTCCACTTTCCAGCACTTGCATCTAATTTGATGTTTCTTTAGCTTCATTTAGTAGAAGGCTGATAATACAGTAATTTAAATTCACAGAAAAATATCAGATTAAAAACTTTTCTTCTATTTCAGCTTTATTTTTCCTTAGAAGATTATATATAAAGTTATAAAGTCAAATAACCTATTAAGCTTCATATTTCTGCCAGGGACCCAAATGCTCCAAAGAACTCCTATAAACAGCACTGAAATGGAGCAGCTATTCAAGAGTGGATAGCAGCAGGAAGAAACAGCTTAGCGTGGGACATGTATTTTAAACAGTATTACTGAGAGAGTAGTAGGCATCTAAGTACTGTGAAATGAGCTACAGCCATTTCTGGATGAAGAACTGGAAGCTGAGCTGAGGCATTCAAAGCAGGCACTGAAAATGGTGCAATGGTAGTGATGCAAAGAAAACCCCCAAAAACCCCAAACCCAAACCAATAACCAGAAGCCCACCCCAAACAAATAAACCTCGTGGTCTGAGAATGCAGCCTGTAAGAAGTATTTACCTGCAGGGAAAAGCTGAAATGGAACTCAGTTATGACATGATGAGCAATCACTTTGGTCTTCACACTTATTTATATTCTGCTGTTAGTGATGACAAATACTTTTTGGCCTTACAAATGTGAAAGTTTGCTTATTTCTTCTACATATGAATTAAAGTAGTATTAATGATTTTGGCCTTTGAAGGTGAAGACGTATTATTTAGATATGCTGTGGGGGAAATGGAGCAAAGTGGAGAAGTGCTTTATAAAATCCTTAGTTGAAACCTGGGATGGACAACGCAAAAATACACACATACTATAAAAGCAAAAGAATATACTGAAATGCTAAAGAGAAGAAAAACAAAAGTAAAGCCTTATTTTATTTATGGAAATGACTATTTTCACACTAAGTACAACTTAATTGAATTGAGAATTGAAAAATGTTATATAAGCAAAATTTGGACACTCAGGAAATAGTGTAATAAGGAATTTGCAAAAGACAAAGGCAGAATATTGTTTTTTTTCTGCAAGACAGTAGAATTTTTGTATATAACCTCTAGATTTTATAAAGTGTTCTGCACAGGTGTTTGTACTTTATTATTAGCACAGTATCAAATATCTTTAACCTAGAGTTCTCATTAAGTGATTAAAGAACCTCAAGAAAAAATGATACATCTTTTGAATGTGACAGATATTCAGCCATAAAAGAATTAGTGTTTATTAAAGTGTAGTATGTATTTCCCAGCAGAAGTATGAAGAAATGTCAAAGAAATATGAACTATTTCAAAGACAAAACCAACAAAGGCTCATTTTAGAACACAAGATTTTTATTAACAAATAAAATTTCGGCAGGATGAAAAGAAAAAGACCTGTAAGAGCCCTTTATGTTAATTTTAAATATGGAAATATATGAATGTGAACCTCTGCAATAAGGTTTAAAGTCCGTACAAATATTCAAAAATAATATTTCTTTCCATAAAACATAGTAGGAAAAATAATGTCAACTAAAACCAGGAACAAAGAAATGACCATTAAATAATACCCATAGAATCCCACAGTGCTGTTTTACAAACTGTCATAACTCTTCAGACTAATCCACAGAAATTATTTACCCAATAATCTGATTTAAAAAAACCCAACAGAATGCTGATTGATATTCTTCAGAGATAACAGTGCTCTCATCTAAAGGCTACATATCTGTTTTCAGTCAGTGCAAAATGACCAAATTTGAAACAATCAGATTCTTATTGCACAGAAGTTACAAAACCTCGAAACAATTAAAAATAGAACAGAAAAGAAAAAAAAAAATTAGAAGATGTGTGGTACTAAAGGCAAAGGTTAGGGTTATGCCTTGGCAATTCTTAACTATTAAAAAGTGTTTGCCTGTTAAACAAGAATGAGTTTAACCAATTTATAGCTTTGTAGAGTAAAAAAACCACTAAAATCACTAATGAACTTGTTTCATCAGAATTTAGAGACATTTTACAGCTTTCTTTTCAGACTATACCTTGAGGCAAATACCATCACTATTGCAAATTCTGCTCCAAGCTGATTTTTAAGTGTGTTATCTCTTAGCAAAAATATTTCCTTCCTTTCATTTCTTTCCTTTAAAATCTAAGATATCATCTAAATCAGCAAAGGGATCCTGGACTGACTGGAGTGTGTTCAGTGAAAAAGCTTAACCTTGTCTCCCACAGAAATTTATTCTTCAACACTCTTGAGCAGTGCATTACATATGCTTTACCTTCCAGTTAATATTTTTCCCCTTTTCTCATCTGTGTTATTATTTTCAATTCTCTAATTCAAGTAATCTCCATAGTATTGCCAATTATATTAAAAAAAATAATTTCAACAGTATATATCAAATAGCCTTGCTGTGTACTGTTATTAAAATTACATGGGTGTTTAGCAGCACAGAATAGAAAATTTAATGTCTTATTAGTTATTAAATTTTTATATTGGTCTGTAGTTTTAAAAAATATCATCCTGGACAGCAGGATACTCACAGACAAGTTCACAATTAGGAAATGATCACATAAAATGTCCAATTTTAATACATGAAACAGAACACTTTTGTTTATAGAAAAATGCCCAAAGCTCTCTCATGGGTCTCAGCAGTAGCAAAGAACATATTTTCAAAAATAGTCAGAGTTTAAATCAATTATTTTTAATTAAAATTTTAATTTTCCCCTAACCAGTCTGAAATTCACATAGGCCAGGCTGTTTGTGGGTATGTTTATGTAATGTATAAAGGTCTTCTCACAAGATCCCTGGTCCTTTTACTGGAAAGGAAAACCAAAAATGTGACCCTGTTAACCAAGTGCAGCTCTTGACGTAGGGTTGGGGTCATGACTCTCTTCAATGTGTTCTCCTGGTTGCCCAACATAAGGGCATTATCACAGCTGCATGAAATAAAATTACATAAAACTACTTCAGATAGCTAGAGAAGACTGTACAAAGTGCAAGGCTTTAGAGATAGAATCTTTTAATTTATTCTTTTTGTCTGAATTGTTTCTATGTTACAGTGCAAATTGCACTGTTCTGCTTACACTTAATACTTGAGATAAAGACAATACCTTGGCAATAAAAAGATATAAATTCACTCAGATGCTGTTTGATCAAATTATGGAAATACCCTTAACCATGCTTTGGGGTGTTATGTGACCATTTAATCTCATTTCTTGTTATTCCAATAGATTTACTTTATAAATACATTGCTTCAGTGTTATTTCACAGCAAATGGCTCTGCACCACCAGCCCTGGAACAGAAAAAGAGCTGCTAATCTGTCAGCCTTCACCCTTCCATTAGACTTCTCTGAGCCACAAAACATCTATTCTCCTTTTACACAGATCTTTATATCCTCTTGCTTAAAAAACATCAGATGCATCACTGATTAAGGACTTTGCTTACATCCTCCTTGTGATATTGATCATCTTGCCACACATTCTGTAGAGCATGTACTAAAACAGTTTATTTTTTTCACACTCTTAACCATGGAAAACAGATTTTTTAAAAAATATTAATGTTTTGGCAAACAAAGCCTAATGGTATAGTTGGACAAGTGATTTTAGTATGAAGGCCGCATTTTATCTTTTCTACTTATGTGGAGTGTTTGAAAAGTAGCTATATTAAGATATAAGTAAAAATACTTTTTATACATCATACCTTTCAAACAATAAACACAAATGAAATTGTTTATGTCAGAAAAAAATATTACTTATTTGTGTGTCAGCTTTTTAAAGAAGAAGGATTTTACTGTTTTACTTTTATGGGATTGCTTACATGCTTAAATTTAAGCAGAGAATTCTGAACCCTGTTGAAATCAAGTTTAGGTTAGGAAAAAAATAAAAGTCCCTCTGTAATTCATATGAAACCATTATATAAAGTGCATTGACATAATGGAAAATTGAAAATAAATTAAAATTCTCCTACTACTGCTGATTACCATATGCATTTTAAAATTACATTATTAGGGTCTTTTCAATGTGACAAAAGCAGGATCAACCCTGGCAATGTATTTGTCTATGTAGGTGCCTAAGTAAGTTTGAGAGTTTTTGGGTAGATGTAAATCAGCTGTGACCTCAGCTCACCAACAGCCTACCCAGATAGGAAAGGGACATTTTCTGTGAATGCACTGCTTTCTACTACCCCAGCAGCACAGCAGTTCTGGGGGAGAATGTTAAAACATTTATTTTAATGATGTGATATTTTAAATTAAAAAAATAATAAAAAAAAATGCAGTGGAGCCTTCTCGTAGCAAAAGTAAGACTGTGGTGCCACTTCTATACAGAGTCATCACAACTCCATACCTCAGGGAAATGTTCCTGAAATCCAGAGAGGCAGAAAGGGTCATGATACAGAATATAAGGAGATACTGTTTGCCCACTAGAAAATTCTTCTCAGTGGAGTATTTTCTGTTCTGTAACCTTTAAGTGGATGTAGAAGCCAGAAGATATGATATTTACCACATCCATCAGATTCTCACAAATCCTTCATAGCTATGATCACTCAGAATAGGTTTTCCATCATCCACCATCCAGGAAACACACAATGACCTCCAGGTAAGTTTTCTGTTGCACTGCTTTCAGAGTACTAGGATTACTTCCACAGAAATCCTCAACAGCCCTCCCTGTGTGTTTCAAGTACTGGATTGATGGCAAAAAACCCCAGAACTAGAGGTAATGAAGGCAACAAAAACAGCAAATCCAAAAATATTTCACAGCTGTACAGAATGCAAGTGACAGCTGTGGCTAGTGAGAATCACAGATTTATGGGAAATATATCCTGATAAAAGTTGGGGTTTTGTTCCTTTTTTTTTTTTTTTTTTGTGTTTAGATACAGGGAGATACTGTTAAAGTGTATTTTAAAATAAAAATAATCAAAAAATCTTTCCAAAATACTTCAATAAGTAAGTTTCTTTTCTACTTTGCAACAACTGAAGATCCTTGAAGAAGAAGATAATTAAATCCAGATAGTTCTCCTAGACTGAAAATACATTGCAAATCCCAAGCTCCTCAGGGAGGATATCCAAGGTCTTTAAACTGTGAGGAGTTAGTATCATATCCATTACAGTGGATAAACTCTCACATCCTGGGTAGATCACCAGCGAGCAAGCCAGCTCCAAACAGAGTTTACAAGGTTAAAACCAGCACATGGCATTCTTGTCTCAAAAACAAAGCCCCAACAACCCAGCAAGGTGTGCTCTGCAGCTGCTGAAATTTCCACATTATTTTAGAAGTGCCTTCTATGGGACATGTTAAAGTCAAGCCCATTTAAAGACAGCTGTGGCCTGTGTGATTTGAGGCTTTTCTCCTGAGGAATCTCTGTCAGCTTCTTGCTGGCTGAAGAACACTAAGATACATCCTGGAAAGGAAAGGATGCTGTGTGTTTCTCCCAGTTGGGAGAAGACCTGCACAGATATTTTCAATCTACTTTCTCAGACTGTACTCTCTGCTTTGTCTAGAACAAGCTTCAAACAGAAAATTCTCCCTCTGAAAAAATTCAGCAGAGAGTGGAAGAGGCCATAGAACATATTTCATTACTGCACTCAGATACAGAAGTTACCAACATCTTTACAAACTTATCAACTTTACAAACATCTGTGAGAAGACTCCCCTGTATTTTTTTTCTCCAGGTTTTTATTTCAAGATTTTGCATTTTGTTAGATGTTACTCTGCTTCACTTGTGAATTATGTAGATGTACAAGGGGGTTTTTTGATTTTGAACGTGAAGGGGGGAAAAAAAAGTGCACTCACCATAGGTCTCAATCTGATGTTTTTGTTAGAGTAAGTATTTTCTTGTCTTTTTTTTTGTGACCCAGGAAAGATTTCCAGATTTAGAGATCTCCTGTGCATAAACTGAGATTGGCTGGATTAAAGGCCACAATCTCAGTCACCAGGTGACTCAACTTGGTATAACCTAATGGAAGTCAGTGTCATACCAATCAAACCAGTGAAGATATGGCACAACTCTCAGGGCATATAAAGTCCAGTACTGATTTGTAAACACCTCATTTTTATTACTCTGAAGAGTGCACTGTGTATTTAACAGTATAAAGTGAATCAGCACAGACAGAAATCATTACTTTCAAACTGGCTTTTTGAAAGAGAAAACCACCAATTTTTATTGGTAATGAACTTGTAATGACTGAAATGAACCTGTAGGACAAACATGAACACTTTGGTAAGCTTTCAAATGCTTATCTAAACATTATTTGAGCATCTTAGTCTGGATATACACCCTCCTTTCATAATACCCAGGAAGAAAAACACATAAATAAAGCCCTTCTAACATTTATGTGGAGTTGTGTGGAATAGAAACCAGTAAGAGTCTGGACTGAAGTAAAGGAATCTTTTCTGGCTGTTTCATTTTACATACAGAGGGCTGGGCTGTCTGGAAAGGTGGCAGAAATTTCTGTTGCTGGACACTTTCATATGCTGATAAATAGCCTAAATAGAGGAGAGCTTTGTAGCAAGATTTCTTTTTCCAGTGTGCACAAGCACACAGCTTGAGCTTCATCCACATGCACATACAAAAACCCCTTTCCACTGCTCAGAAAGCCAAAGATAAAAACAGTATTGGACAAATGTTTTCCTTCCATCTCAACAATTTATGACCAGGGCTGGCCCTAGCATGTTATTGTATTTTATGAACATGTCCTAGTTGGGGTTAAGTCTAGAGATGATGATAAGCACATTTCAGGTGTGGCTCTGTTAAATTATTAAAAAAATATTTAGGGCACAGATCTAAGGTTTCTTTTGCAAAGTGATTGCTCTAAAAAAGTGGGACGGACTCTGCTTCAAATGGAAACAGTTTTTCTTCAGGGATTTCCTCCTCCTTAAAATGCCCTCTATCACACTGAAAGACATGGAACTAACAAGTATTTTTAAGCAGAAACTTTGCAGTTATGCTTTGTTGTACAGAAAGAGAGAAAAAAAAAAAAAAAAAGAAGGGAAGAAAGGTACATCCATGGAAAAAAAAATAATAAATGCCTTTTCCCCTGGTGTCATGTCTTTGGATATGTACAGCCTTGGAGAAATGTATAAATCATTTTGTATATGGAACTCTTAAAAAACTAGAGATTTTTAGTACAAAGGAATCAATTCACTGCAAGAATGTCCACATGCTGTTGCTTTATGATTTCCTATATACACAAGAGGATCAAAGAAAGGTCCTCTTTTACAGTTACTGCTGTACTGTACATTAACATGTGGCTAATACCCTTCTCTGGGCGAGATTTACACTTAGTATTACAAATAATGCTGAAAATACTGATACAAAACAGCTTCAAGATGACATTTTAAAAATAACCATCACTTTCATTGAACTGTTTTTTTCAATTTTTTTTTTTAAGTTTCAGCTCTATAAAAGATTCTCCAAGAAAATAGTAGCATTTAAAATGCTATTTTTGAAGTTTGTAGATGGGATTTTTTTTAAATGAAGTGTAATCCAAAAGTCCATTTTCCCAGGAAAAAAACAACTATAGATACAGTACCTAACCTAAAACTGAAGAGGGTATTGGTTTGTTTAGTTTTGAGGTTTTTTTGTTTTGTTTTTTTTTTTTTTTTGTAACAGTAGAGTACATTTGTATCCTGGAAAAAAAAAATAAAATTCCTTGATTACAGTGTATGTTTAACATATTTACAGATCACAAATTGAATTGCATACATCAGCTCTTGAGATGAGCAACACTGAAAAGAATCGTTAGTAAGAATTAATTGTCCTTTCAATCTACCATGACTTTAAGATATTGCTGAGAAGAAAAATTGATTTTGAGTAGTGAAATTATCTTATTACTATTTTTATCTTGTTTGATAGACTTTAAATTATGAGTCTCAATGCAGGACTGGGAGTCTTGAATACCCACAGTTAATTTGGTAAAGCTGTGTTTGCAATTTTTGCACATTCTGTTTTGGCAGTAGCAATGCACACATGAACACAAAGAATTTTGGCAAATGTTTGTCTTGGTGCTTATGCATCCATCTCTGGGTACCAAAAATGATCACTGCAGAATATTTAGACAAAACCTGCTCTCTTCAACATCAGATAATGTAATAAAATCAGCTTTAATCAAAATAAAATCCTCAATAAACAGAAGCCTGAAATTTCAGGCTGCTGAAATTACTTTACTAAATATCTGCCAAGCTCATAGTCTATTTTTTTTTCTTAGTCTAAGCAAGACTTGTTAATGCAATTTCCTTGTATTAATCCAAATATTAAGCAGTGAAGCAGATACATTTAACACTAAGCAAATTTTTGTCTTCATTTCATATACTCCATGTGACTTAACATTTAAAAGTTGCAGATTTTAAGTGGCTGCAGAAGCTTTATTTTACATGTTAAGTCACAATGGCTTGTTTCTGTGTGTGAGAACATGTTACACCCTTGTCTTTCCCTATTAATCACCAGTTAACGAGAGAGGTGACCTGTCTCAGATCTGACTCAATTGTACTTAAATATGCCAAATTATTTTTAAACTACTAACTGCATGTGCCATTGCAACTCAAACAGATTACCCTGCATCAGAGAGGTTGTAAATGAAGTGTCATGTTTCACACATGACACATGTTTGGAGTAACTGGACTCAGAGGTTTCCAAACCTCTGAGAGGGTAAAACCAGATCTTTTGCTACTGACAGGTCTCTGTGGCATGGTCAGATGACTTCACACTCCTGTGAGACCAGGTAATAAATTAATCTCACTTGTTTGTAACCTGTCAAGACTAACAAACCCACTGAACTGGTGTAAACCAACAGGTCCTTAAATGCAGATGACACAACCCACAGAAATTATGACTGATGCAGGTTGGTTGGCGTGGGGAAAAAGATTATACTGCCTTATTATTATTACGTTACTTTAGTCTTTCACACATTTTTTGGTTTGGGAAGTGAAATGAAATTACAGGATGAATTACACAGCAGAATGTCACATTGCATCATGAGTGCTACAGTGCCTGTAAAGCACAAAGATCACCACAATTTGACATGCCCTTATAGAACAGAAACAGTCAAAAAAATGTAGTTAAATAAAAGTGTTGAAGAGGGAAGGTTGAGGAAACAAGCTGACATCCTCAGTCTGGGACCTAATTTACTGACTCAAATACCTGGTGAATCTCTATGAACCTGTTAGAGGAAAATCAATCACTTCCTCCACTTGTGGCATGAGGCACTCATGAAACACATACAGCAGGAAGTGGTAACACTCTGTAAGTGACCAAATTTCACTGTATTAAAAAATAGAAGTGTAAAAAGAGGGTCCTGAAAGGTTTCTGACTCCTAATTTCCCTAATGTCTATGAAATTCATGAGGGTTTACTAATTACTTATCTATTTATTCCTCACATCTACTTTAACGGTAATATTATTAAACATACAGGTTTTATTTAAGATCATCTTCTAGAACTCCAGGGAATGATAGTGATTTATAGAGGGGAAAAAATATATTTAGCCAATATTGGACTAGCAGTGCCAGCCAATGGTACCACTTATTAAACCCATGACTTCTGCAAGACAAATCAGCCCAGTTATTTAACAATCTCGTTCATCCTTTTGCCTCAGTCCGAGGTGGGAAAATACGGAACCTACACACAATGTTCAAATTTAATTTCTTTTTTTTTTTCACGTGAAAGTAGCAGCAGATGAGAACTGAAGAAGAGCTCTAGGTGAGCTTACATCCCTCTTTAATCAACTCTCCTTCCACGGCAAGAAAATAAGCACCTCGTTAGCCATCCTGTTGACCTAAAGTCTGCAGCTCTGCCGTGTGTAAATTGTGGTGGAGGAAAACGTTTTTCCTGCTGTACATGTGTAAAGAGATGGGTCCCCTGGGGGGCTGTCCCAGTCTCCCTGTGAAGGTGGTGTGCTGCCGAGGCACAGCGCTTTGGTCCTTCGCAGCTCCTGAGAACACGGGGAAGCCGTCGGCCGCGGATGCCGGCTTCGCCGCGCTGGGGGCCAAACCGTTCTGCGTCACCTCTGAAGCCAGGCTTTCGTACGTGCCTCGCGTGTGCTTGATGACTTCCACGATCTCCTTCTCCTTCAGGAGGCTGCTCAGACACAAATTAGACAGCTGACAGCTCTTGCTTTCGTACGCTGCTGCTTGGTTGCCTGGTGGGTGTCTAAAAGGGTCCTCGGTGGGAGTATGTGCTGACTTTCTGTCCCTTGTGCTGAGATTTTGGCTCACCATTCTGACTGGATACGTAGTCTGGGGAAACACGACAAGACAAGCCAAAAAAGTATTAGTAATAGAACACAGTAGAGAAATGGCATGCAGTACATAAACCACTCCTCACTACACATGAACATGGGTCTGGCAGATTAAAATAAAAGACAACTCTGATTGCCAACTTCATTGACATTTAATAGCACTAGGGTTGAAAAATGCTTGCTAGAGGTAACGATTTAGGCACTTTCCTTAAAAAAATAGTTCAGATCAAAGGAGAATTTTTTTAAAGAACATAATAAATGGATAAAAAGTTTCCATGAATTGTAAGCAGATTTTCAAAAGCATTTCACATAATGAAACAAAGAGAATTTTGACTGCATAGAGTTCAACACTTAATACTCTCAAATCCTAGCAAAACTTAACATATTTTGTAAATATCTTCATGTCTCAGTTAAGCTCAGAACATATTCAATTTTCACTGTCCCTTGAATCCAGGTGTTTTGTTGTGTATTTACAAGTCAAGTACACGCTAGAGAAGAACACAAATTTTATTTCAGCTACGTGGAAAAAATACAATGGAAGAAGGATTCCAGCATGTTACCAAATCCTGAAGCTGTGCAAGCATGCATGCCTCTGCTTCTGTTGAGATGTTGGTCATTTATCTGTGCATGGCAAATCAGATCACTGCAGACTTCCAGTGTGTACCTGGTGTGATGCTTTGTACTGTCCCTAGAACACCTGACTGGGGAGGAGAGATGATTTAACCATTCCCAGGGAATGGTTAAAGCAACTGGTTAACTTAAAAGTCCAATTTGGCTCCTTACAGGTTTTCTTCAACAGAACTCTGAAAGGACACAGGAGCAGTTTCTTGACATTTACATTGACATATGGGCTCTGATGTTGCAGAACAAAGCTGAGAGAATAAAAAATACTACCAAGCCTTACAACAATATTTGGCTAAAAATATTTCAGGGTGTTTCCATGATTCCACAGGAAACTCAGATATATTGTTTCAGAATGAATTGTATCACTTCACATGCATTTCTATTTTAAACAGCATAGAAGAATGATATTGTCAGTATTCATAGCTTATATCCTTTTTTTAATGCAGGATAATGGTCATGATTCCATGCAGAGCCATATGTAGATTTGAGTATAAGGACTGCAGTGTATTTTAGGCATCAGAGATGATATTTTAAAAAAAAAAAAAAATACTAGGACTGGAACATCATTTTTTCCCCACTTTATTCAGTGGTGATTGCACACAGATTTATAAATGGGAATAGAACACTTCTGGAAAACATCACTTTAGTTTCTACATCTACAGCACATAGGTGTTGAAATGAAATTCAATTTAATTCCTAGGGTATCATTCTTGGGAGGACCTGTCTGTAAGTTCAAACATTTTCCTTTACATTTATTTAATCTATTTTTTAATTATATTTATATAAATATATATAAATATATATTAAAACATATATTTATATATATAAATATATATATAAATTATATAAATATAAATATATTTATATTTATTTAATCTATTATTAATTATTTACTTCCATGCCAGTAAATATAAGCTCCCCAACAGGACAAGAGTCAAATTTAATGCCCTTTCAAAAATCCAAGCCTTTATTTTAAGGGAATGTTTCTGGAGTTACCATATGTCACTCTGTATCTTTGAAAACCTGAAGGTCGATATGGAACCTTAGAGGAACTTCATGGTGGGACCTCCATGTGACTTCTGGTTAACTCCAGTTTATCCCTCTGGACATTTATGGTCCTTAACCATCTGTTAAGGACCTTCATCGATGTAACCTGTACAGCCTTCTCCTCCAAGATTTTTTCAATACATTACTTTTAGAAAAGGTCTTCCTAATGTCTAAACTTTAGTGTCTTTCCAGCTTCAAGACCATTCCTTCTCTCTCTCTTGTGAAAATGAAGAAAGAATTACTGTTCAATCTCAGATACTTATTTATGTCTTCAAAGAATGCTGTCAAGCAACCCCTTAATCCTCTCTACTCTAGAATAAAAAATACCACATTGATCTTTTCTCACAGGACTCATCTGCTAGACTCTGAGTCATTCACACTTGTCTTCTATATACATCCCCTTCAGTAATTCCACTGTTTTTTTCTTGAAGTAGAAGGCTCAGGAGTACAGTACTCAAGGTAACCTGCCACCATTATGAAACAGAGCAAACACTATTAATCCTATGAAAGACTTCTTAATCTGCTTCTTATTAATTACTCCAGTAGGAGGCTAGTAATTTTATTTAGCAACAGCATGAAATTGTTCATCCATGTTCATCTAGCTGTCCACAACAGTTTCATGATTTTTTAATGCAAAATTGTATCTAAGTTCAGCTGGTTATTGTCACCTATTGCTTTTTAACCTGATGAAACACTGTTATGACTATCTAGCACTGGGGTGTTCCTTTCCTCTTCCTTATCAAGGTTATATTTCACATAAAATATTTTCAATTTAGAAAATAAATTCTAAATTCTAAAATAAAATAAGTTCTAAATTCTTTAGGTCTACAAAATATTGGCTTCTGATGGGGGGAGACTGTGTGTACATGTATCAACAAATATTTAATAATACATATGTGGTTAGCGATGGTCTTAGTTTCATGAAACTGTAACTTGCTGAAATTCCCCACCTACTGAATAATTAAACAAATACCAGGTGGTGACAAATTAAGAGCTAATTTACCTGCATTAAAACACCAATAGAAATTCAGAATATGCCATCACAATTTTAAGGAATTGGTTTGGCCCTGTCCCTGCCAATAAGATAATAAGATGGTTAACAAGGAAAGACAGGCTCATTCTATCAGATGCATAGTTACACATAAAATAAACAGAGAGTTTTATGAAACATTGCCAAAACCCAATACTATTGTTGTTATCTATGATAAATTACTGAAGAATAGCTTTTAATTAGGAAAAGAGAGAACAGGTGTCAGATGGGAGTCAAAATCAACAAGAAATCCTCTCTCCTCTGCTCATCCAAGTAACACTATTCTCTCTCCAAAATATTGTCAGTAAGTCCAGTGCTGCTTTGATTTTCATGCAAGTTATTTTTTGGTATGATTCTAACATTTTTACAAAAATGGCAACACACAATAATTGAAATGAATTAATTTTTCTTTCGATGAATTCAGATAATTTAGTTTGAAAGAATGCAGTGCAACCAAATTTTCTTGCTGGTCCATTTTATTTAGGATCCTCCGGAAGAGGTCAAAATAAGAAAAATGTCCCAGAACGAGATGCACAAAAGTACAAGCCACACATGCCATACCAAAAAACTCCCAAACCAACCTGACTTTGGACAAACTTAAACATTTATTTGTAACTTCTTTCTCCTTATCTTCCTGTAAGCGATTAGCGCAAATTTTCCAGCGCTGAGCTTTCAGGTACCAACTGCGCTCTCTGAGCATTAGCCACGAGCGAGCAAAGCCACAGTCCCAGCGCATCTGTTGGCCAATTCGAAGGCTGAGTCCTTGTCCAAAGCTGAAGGTGGCTTCGTGCCAGTCGTGCTCCAGCCCAGCCTAGAGCAGCTGCAGGGCTGCTGTAAACTGCTGCTTGGCGGAGCTCCAAGGAGCCGATCTGCCAGCTGGTGACTGCTGAACCAAAAAATCCATTCATCTTTTTCCCTTTTATTTTTCAGTAGCTCAGCTAGAACCAACAATTTCTCTGCCCCAGAAATCCCCAATGCCACGCTATAGTCTGCCTAACTGTGGACTCAGGAAATGGGTTGCAATTAGGATGCAAATGGGGTTCTGAAATTTCTTTCAAAAGTAGCCCATTTTAAATATATGCAGCAGAAAGAAAAGACCTCCTTTGTTGTTTCAAATATGTCTTAACCTTTAAGCAAACATCTGGATTTTAATTTCCTGATCGTATTAAACACACTCACAAGAAGTGCAGGCCTTCATGCTTGAGTCTATTTCTCAAAAAGGAAAAAGAAAAAAAATTATTAAAATCTGATTGGCTGTAAAATTTTAGCCAGTTTGTATCGTGATCACTTCTGTTTTAAGGTACATAAGAGTGACAAAGGTCAAAATACTTTAGATTTCATTATTCCACACTAGTGCTAAATAAATTAGTCTTGAATCAAAATGGGAACTTAATATTCTTAAAATATTCTTTCCATAATTTTTTTTGAGGGTTCATTTTTGTGATTGTAAGTCTAATAACTTTTTCTTATAATAAAAACCTAAGTCCCTTCAATGACTCAGTGTTAAATAATGAAAATGTACTACTTTTATAGAAAGCTCCAGAATGAGAAGTTATAAACAAAACACTGCAGCCATTCATCACTTTCCATTTTCAAAGCCAATGAGTGAAATATGACAAGAGTTAACAACAAGACAACACTGCTGCAGGACATTTGAAAATGAATATTGTTTCTGACTGTCTGGTGATAAAGTGCTAATAAAAAATGATGGGAAAAGACATGAATTACAAAAACACCCCAAAAAGTGTGCAGATTTTTAAGATGTCTGTGCCCAGAGGCATTTGGGAGTCTTAGATGCCTATAATGTAATTATTCGAAGTATAGCAACTTTCTTAAATCCATCATTCTGACATGAGGCATAGAGAATAAAACCAAACAAAACACGCTCTCATCAGTGTACCTGCTGCACCCTGACAACCAAACAATGGTGTAGTTCAAGAACATGGTTTTACCACCCCAAAGGATTTTACACTTTCAGAGGTGTTAATGGAAGCACTCTGTAGATAGCAATTATTCTGACAGGAACCTGAAGACTTTCTGGATTCCATCATGTTTTCTACTGCTTAATTATTTTTTGTTTGCTGATGCACAAGGAATGTAAAATGTGTTCTCCAATGTAATATTTACTGCATGGCCCAGCATGGCTCCCTTGGGCCCTGTCAGGTCTCAGCTGGATTGCAGCACCTTCTGCAGAGCTGTCTCCATTTGCAGGCTGGCCCAGAACCCAGAAAATATAGAGGAACATAAAGGAGTCCAGACACAAAACAAGGTTCTATAGCTCTGTATTTCTTTTAAGG